AGCTGCTGCTGTTGCTGCTGCTGTTGCTGCTGATGATAATGATTACGAATATGGCAAAGGAGGTGGTGGAGGTGATACGTGATGTTTAGGGGATGGAGATGATAGTGTCAAGAATGACGGTGGTGGAATGGAACGAGAGACAGTGTTTCTATTTTTAGCTCCAAAGAGAGCAAAGGTTGAATATTTTTATCTCAGTGGACAAATACAAAGTAAACGGGACAGGGGTAGACACAGAAAAATTTAATAGGAATATCTGAAGAAATAGGAGACGGAAAAAACACCAAGATAATAATCTAAGTCTTTAAAAGAGCATCAGAGAGGAGAAGTGAAGAGAAAACAATAATCGTTGATGTCTGTTTCAAATCTGAACATACAAATATAGTGATCCATTTCATCGGGTTGTGGGCTGACAAATTACACGACTACCAGTCACAAGGCCAGCCATCGAGTTGTATTACAATATCCAAGATTATTTTTCCAACCAGATTTAATTCCAGTTCAATATGGGGCACATCATTTTGACTCAGTTTGACACCAAATGAAGGGCAAAGCGAGTAAAGTTGCGCACACACACTCGACTATAATACTTAACGAGACAGGCGTTTTGCCGATTATCTGGGCGTCCATTTGTTGTGTGTATGCGTGAGTGCACCTAACGTTTGTAACATCCACTGCCATTGTAAACGACAAAGACAAATTTCTTCATGTGAGATGAATAAAGATTGTCATTGTCTTTGTCGGTATAGTTGGTATCAGCACAACGAAGTTTTTTTTTTATTAGAGAGAACAAAGAGATGCACCAATGTCAGTGTACGAGACTAGCGTTTTGCCGATTATCTGGGCGTCCATTTGTTGAGTGTATGTGTGAGTGCACCTAACTTTTGTAACATCCACTGCCATTGTAAACGACAAAGACAAATTTCTTCATGTGAGATGAATAAAGATTGTCATTGTTGGTATTGTTGGTATCAGCGCAACGAAGTTTTTTTTTAGAGATAGAAAAGAGAGGCAGCCATGACAGTGTACGGTCTAGTATAATATTTCAAGTCTTTGGGGCAAGCTTACTTGGTCTTTCCACACATATATGTCGCACCCAGCTTCCGGGAAAACCCTGTCTGTCCGACACGTGACCTTGACCTCCGGGTCACTGTCCAGCCCCACCAACTCTGGCTTGTCACACACAGGGGTGGAAGGACGGGCTTATCAGGTGGGGGGGG